ATATTTGGCAGTACAATCGTGGATTGTACTTTTCCTATGGCGCACAGCATACATGTTTAATTAAGCTACAAAAACGAAAAACCCAATCTGGAATAATTTAAAGTTTGCAAACAACAGCAATGGAGAAAGATTTTCATTATTGTAATAAAATTCTTAAGCCATTTAATACTTACCACAGTAATCGTAAAGCTATACATATGTGGAATTCACAATTATAATAGGCACAAATAAATAAAAATTTAGACATTAAATACACTCCCCGTCCACAAACGAGTTGGAAATTTTATTTTATGATGTCGTTTCGCTCAGTTTCAGCCCCACAATTCGGATAATTTGATTTTTCTTCTTCGAAATTCCTTAAAATGTTTTTAAAGCTGTCGGAACTCRCTATTGGCATACAATTTTGGCMGGAATTACGACCAACGCAACGCACGTTTAMGACATAGGAARTGAAATGGCCAACTGCTTGCTTGMGATTTCAGTTGAAAGAAAATTGGCATAAATAATATTGTACGTACTTTCCTGACTGTGTTGATTATATAAATAATATTATTTATGRTAGAGAAGAACTTAATTTTTCTGTACCAACATTCTRATACSAAATTATTTTTCCCATGTGGATATTATCGAGAATTGTACCAATTCTAACCGAGAGTTGATTAATATACATAATAATATGTTAAGTAAAGAAGACAACRGAAATACTTTGTTAGTATCTGAGAAATTATCAAACTTTCTAATAAAGTCTGGAGATAGAGCTTTGTTTAGAGACAAATACACAATTACCTTCCKAACTAAGTAAYCTAATTGTTTTTGTGCTTATTCTATTAATGACTGTTCTATTTACCTTATGCGATGGAACGTTCGTTCGAATTTTCCAGATATATTTTTTATGAAACTGTGAAATAGCCCTTAATATACTAAATTTCATAATTTCTAATTCGCCGCAATTAACTCCAGACTTTCAAGATTTTCAATTTTTTTCTGACCTTAGGCCCTTAAAAAACGCGAAAGTATACTCAGACAAATCCAATCCAAACAAACAAATGCTGCAAATTGTGATTTAAATAGCAATAAAAGCTTACATACACATATTGACATATAAATTACATACGCACAAAATGTACACACATAAGACGCATTGTTATAAAGCCGCCGGAGGGCGTAAAAATTTCGGCTGCGTAAACTCAACTTAAAACATAGCAAACATAATACAGAGAGAAAATTGAATGCTGCTCACTTGTTCTCATGAATATGCTCAGGGCAAAAATTTTAATAATTGGCTGATATTAAATCAAAAAATCTGCGATTCTGCGATAAATAAACGTGTGGGTTTCCCTGGATTACGTCGGAATATCTAAGCCAGAACTCAGAACGTAAGGAAGTCAGTAAAGGAAAATGTAGAATATGTCTTTGTGCTTATCTGCTATAACTCAGCCATTGAATAAACTCAAGCGGATATAGATGTCAAAATATCATGTCAGCAGGAGGATGAGATCGTTTATCCGGTATTCGACATGAATAAATGGCCCGGGTTCAGCTTCGAATCTGCTTCTTGCTAAACGCAAAACGGAACTGTGATTTGCATGCGCTAAAATAAATCTTGAAGTTAAACAGGATCTGTTTTAAATAAATGGTTTTTTCAAGATATTYCAGAAAAATATAAATAGAAATCACCATAACTATGAATTATTCACTGTGGGTTTCGTAGTTGTTTCCAATTTTAATAGTTGTAAAAGTAAAAGCTTSTGTAAGTGCAAAAAGATAATTTYTGARAGACATGATTTGTCCCATCCAATTATTTGCCTCTTTGGATGAACTAATGTCATTTTTACCTTTATTGTCCATTCCACATTCCATATGGATGCAACGCTTTGCGAATATGACAAAAGTACTTACTTACACCTACATGTTTAACATCGCACTAATTAAATGATAAAAGGAAGCAATTAAGCAGCCCACAGTTCCCGACTTAACAATTCGATGCACTAAACTTTCATTATAGGAAGTTCATGGGGTTATTGTAATTAAAACTTGCTGAGGAAAGATAAATAGTCTGAAAGGCACAAATTCTGCAGCAACTGGTGGAATAAGAAATAAAAATGTTTTAAGTACCTCTTTAGTACCTAATATGACAGGCGAAGTTTAAGGAATTCAAATTATTTTAAACTTTTAACGGTTATCTGAAACGAATTAGAATTTATACTGCCGGCAACAATGTAGCCGCTACTGTATTATAGAACTTAATTAGCAAAGTGCACTTAAAGGGAGAATTTCATGCTCAAAAACGTTTCTTTTTACAATTTACTTTTATAACATCGTTAGTTTCACAGTCACTGCGGCCATATATGTAAGTGGATTAAGTGTTCGAGGCTTTTCGACGTTGAACTCGGCAATTAGTTGCATACTAAACACAATTTTTGAATAACGCTGATGAAGTAAAATGCTATACTTCTCATGTTGAATTCCAAATTGGTACGGATGATGAAAGTAGTTGTTGCTTAAAAATACACTGAAAGGTCAGAATAAATATAACTTTAGTCGCAATGTTTGAAAAGGCAAATCCAGATGAGGTTTAAATCGGGATATTCCAATTCAACTCACTTCGGTAAAGTCCAGGCTGAAAATGTTGTAAAAACATAAATGGAATTGGGAGCAAGGACATTTAGAGAAAATGTTCCAACTCTGTAAAATCGGAATAGAATATTTATCACTTATGACTTAGGAGAAGTTTTATTTAAAAATTCATTGAATTATATCCTCCTGAATTGATTGATAGATATATTCAGCAAACATATATCAGAAATAATTGAAAAAAAACTTAATATAATAAAATTATATTCTACATGTTTTATTTGCCAAAAAATTGTTTAATTTACATAAAAGCAAAATTAGTAAACAAAATCGAACACAATTTCAATCACCGACTAGTTATACTTATAAGTAACAACAATATACAGGATATATTAGATTATTAATAGGGAAAAGGGCATTGAAATAAAATAACTATGTATTTATCTCAACACAAGGAGAACGTATTTTATTATGTTGTTGATACAACGAGTTCTTTAA